TTTGTTTATTTATAACAATAAAATTCAAGATTAATCTCCCATGTTACCTTTCTTTTGCTGAATTGGCAGTTCTTTTCCCAGACTTTGTTTATGATCTTGGTGAATCTGTCTCTCCTTGGATATGAGAGACTACAGTAGGGCATCCCTGTCTGCTTTTTCATTGTTTTAACTCCTCTTCAGCATCCGACTCCTTGAACGTGAACTCTGGCAGCTAAAAAGAGGGAGACAAGCTGTAGGCTTGAGGTAGATCCTGTATCTCTGGCTCCTTTTTGACTTCTAAGCCATACATGACAACACATATGAGTCTTCCTTACAGTAGTGATGCTGTAAGTGGCCAGAATATTGCAGAGCCTTCCACTTGTCACACACGCTGTTACTAAAACTAATTTTGCACTTGAGGTTCCTCTAGTTTTTCACTTTAGAGGTGACTGATTTGCTGATTTCCCTTCCCTCCAAGCTGTTGAGCTTTCTATAGCAGCACCCAGAATTTGTTTATGCTTCCACTAAACATGAATGCAGAAATTATTGCTTTGCCTTGAATAGGTCCTTGTTTTTCTGGAATTATGGTTCATCTATCCTTCATCCTATTTTAATATTTTTGGAATTTTCTAATATTCTCGAATTCCAGTGGGAGCTTGGCCACTTACTACCTACTACTATATGCTGTTTAGAAGCAGAAGTCTCAGTAAATAGGAACATCCTTTTCATATTCATTTTAAATTCTGTATCACTTATAGTCTAGTGATTTAATCATGTTCAAAACAATATAAATTGTTTTGTTGCTTAATGATCTCATTTTGTGAAGAATTACAAACTTGGAAGTATTGTTTTATATCTTGCATAAACCTATCATAATACTGCATACATAATTAAAAGCCACTTTGAAACATCTGATAGTTGCAAAAGCTAGTCTATGGGACATGATAAATATTCATCATAATCATAATTCTTCTAGCTTTATCCTTGTAAATCCTTGCCTAATCCATATATCCAATTATCTATTCATATGTATACCATCTCTCTCTGACCCCCTGCAAGTTGTCTCTATGAAACTCTCTTCAAGGACTGATAGAATAAGCATATATGAAACACATCTACAGCTTTGGTAAATCTGCTTACAAAAAAAGTGGCTTTTTGCATTGTTTATTATCCTTTAAGTATGAAATCCATCTGAGAATTTAGGGCAATGAAAGGTTTATTTCTCATGATAAACTTGCACGCTTCTTTCAATTAAGCAATAAGAATTCTCTAATCCATGAATCCATCTTCTTTGCCCTGACTGTTATGAAAATTAAAAGCTGGGTTTTTTTTGTTTGTTTGTTTGTTTAGTGATTGGAGCTGTCTTTAGTCAGTATACACAAAAAATATGTATATGTATGTGTGTGCGAGTGTTTGTAGAGTGTGTGGGGTGTTACGTGTGCTTCTTTTATTTGTTACTCTATCCTTTCTATCTTCTGTGTGTTAATTATGCTGGCATCATCATACTTGTGTACATGTAAATATTGAAAACAGGTGAGAGTATAAGATTATTGATCTGCGTACCACTGACTCAAGAGCGTTGGTGAGTGTAGGTTTGTTATTGATAGGCAAACCAGGTTAGTAGTATCACTCATTTAACATTTGTCAAATATTGAGTCACTAAGACAAGGAAAGACAGACCACACAGCCTCCTGAGGCTCTTTTTTCCTGCCATCAATTTTCAGTGGCTTGCATTTTTGATTTATAAAAATAAGTCTGAAGATCTTTCCATGGTACAAGGTAAAATTTTGCATAAATTATATAAAAGTAATATTTACAAAGTTTTTTCAAAGCTTACAACAGAAACTGTGAAGTGTCTTGAGGATCTAAAAAATCATGTGACATTTTAAAGTGCTTACGGTGACAATAGGAAAGAATGAGAAATGCACACCAGAGGATTTTAGGAGCAAGCGTTTAAGGCATAGATGACATAATAGGTTAGATCTGTGAAATCAGTAGAGTAGGAAGAAATTACTAACTTTTTACTCAGGCCAATCTGAAATTTTCTCTTCAAACTCTGTGGTTAGCATTGGTGCCCAGATCCCACACTAACATCAATTTGAGTGAGTTTGTCAGATGTTAAAAATGATCTGCACTCAAATAACCCAGGTTGTTAATTCTGTTCCTGTAACTACTGCTAACTCAGTAGAAAACAATAATGCATAGATCACTTCCAAATAAGAAAGACAATTTATATTAATTGCTTGGAGTTTATTGTAAAGATTGTAGCTGAAGACACATTTATAAGATCACAGTTTGCTAACTTATGCTCTGATCACCTGTAAGTTTCTCACGTGAGGTGAATTCAATGCTTCCACTCGGCCAATGTTGGAGCGAGTTGCATAAAATCGGTGTTTTTTGTTAGTAGTTACCTATCTTGTATGTTCTATGAGTCCCCCTACTTTCTAGCAGATCGCATGAATTTATTTTAAGATAGCTATCGCAACAGTGATTTTTATAAACAAAAATTATTTCAAATATAATTTTATAGTTTGTGTATAATTGCTTTCCAGATTCTGAAGTTTAATAAATTGAACAGGCAGTGTAAAAAGTGTTTTTTTTTTTAACTTGTGAACTGAATTCCTATAATTATTCTAGTAATTTGTTTTGATTTTCTTCTTTTTAAAACTGAGTGAAAATGTATCTTTTATTCTTTTGGTTATATTTTGAATACAAGAAGGAACCATCCTATTCCTTCTTGGTTTGTGCCTTTAAAAACTGGCAATAAGGGAAATAAAATATCATATATTCGGACCAGACTAATTGAAAAATGATATATTGTGATGAATGGAACCTGTTCATTCTTTGTGGTAAAAATAGTTAGCTAATCAAATTGGTAGAGTAACTAAAATTGTACGACAGATATTTAGCCTGCTCAGGTAAACATTAGTTTTAAAATATAATAGTAAAATATAGCAAAATATAATAGTAAAATAAAACAGTAAAAATTACTATTTTAAATTACTATTTAAATTGCTATTACTATTTTAAAGAACTTTTAGTGATACTATTGCAGTAATTTTACATACTAATTACAATGGTTGCTTATAAAAGATCTCTCCTAGCTATTAGATTGCTCTGGAAACACAAGAAAATAAACTGTATTTTTTCATAAATACTCTAGATTTCAGACATTGAACTGATTCTGGCTTAACTTTACCTTCATTATTTTAACTGAGGTTTTGGTAATCATATGAAGTTATAGAGACAACACCTCGTTTAAATACAATGAGAAGGAGTGTTTGATATTTTTAAAAACACAGATGTGAACTTTGAATAAAATGAAGCTGACAAAATTAAGATTTTTTTCTAAAGTTCTTTTTCACTATTGCCAGAATTGTTTGGTTGTTCAAGGCATTGGCCTAGGGAAACCCTTATTATGTGTTAGCCCTGAGTATTCTGTAAGGAACTCAAAACCTGAAAGACGGAGAAATGGATGTTTCTGAATTGCTGCCTGCAGGACAAAATGAAGTGAAGTCTTATTCGGTAGAAGAGAGGGAGTGGGATTTGCATGCACAGAGTTTTCTGAAGCAAGTTTTCTTAAACAAGGTTCGCCCCACGCACACATTCTGATAAAGCTGTTTCCCGAAGCGCCTGGGTGGGACAGGCAATGACATGGCCTGGGTGGTCTATGAACACTGAGCAGAACCTTTACGTTTACTTCCCAACTCCTGCCATAGATATTTTTCCTTTCAAAAGAACTGCGCTTTGTTTTGCAAAAATTAAGTGGGTGGTAGTTTTGTGCTCCTGCGCTGTTTTCAGTGTTCTAGTTTCTTGCAGCCTCCTGTTTTGTCAGGATGAACAACGTAGAGGAGTAGAGAAGCAGGAAGAGCCAGTGAGGTTGCCCTAGACTCAGTGCCCCAGGCAGGAGCAGAGCAGGAGCTGCTGATAGCTTCACATCAGTGGCTGTCTGCTGACTCTCAGACTCAGGATGTTCACAGAGGTCTCAGGTTACAACAAAAGTATGGCGGGCAATAGGAGATGCACAACTTGACATGGAAATAAAAAAGTAGGCAGAGAGGAAAACAGACCCAATTCTTGGTTGTTTCAAAATATTACTATTGGATTCAGAGAAGCTGTTTGGAGCTTTAAATTGCAAAAACCTCCTTTCTATGCCCAGGGATTCTGATTCATTATATTTGGGATTGGGTTCATGAATCTACATTTTAAACAGTCAAGTCTAAATTCTGTTGACCCAGACTTTAAAATATTTGTTAGAGTAGGAGATATAATGGACAAACTGTTAGTGGAATATACCCACTTTATTTTGATCTGTTATCAAATGTTTATAATATATCAGATGATTGTAACACATTGGTATTAACCAGATCCAGTGTCTTGACAACCATCTGGGGGGGGGGCGAATCCTGACCAAACAACCACACATCCACGCACCTGCCCATCTGACCAACCAGAAACTCCCACAGGACTTTCAAGAAAGAAAGAAATAGTATGGCAGGTAAGACAAGCAAACAATGGCCATTGGAAGGAAAAGAGACTTCTTTCTATCATTCAGAAAGTTGGAGGTATAACCAAGAGGTTCATATCAGAGCATAAAACAATTCAGAAATATCCATTACTCAAAGGTGAAAAATTAATGTATAATCTGAAATTGAAATTTTACCATATGAATACAAGGGAGTTGTAATTCTAAATGGTAGAATTCATATTCCATACCCAGTGAGGGTACCCAGTCAGGGAAACTATCACGGCTTCAGGTTTAGGGCTTTCACATGTGTGAGCTGATGACACAGGACAGGGTTGCGTATCTTTTGACAGAGAGTGAAGCTGGATCCCATCTCGGAGGCACGTCATGGGTTCTGACTGAGCTTCCTGCAGTGTCCACACTGAAGCTTAAACACTCCATTCCCCTGTCCAAAGTCAACCTCAATACCGAAAATAGGGGCAGATCAGCTTTCAGAATAAAACTAATGATCACAATTGTGTAACAAGGATTGTGCAAAGAAACACAGTAAAATAGATAAAGAACACATTTGCTGTTTTTATTGGTGCCTTGCACGGCAGTAATACTGAAAAAAGAATGAAAAAAATAAACAAAAACAAAAACAAAAGACAAAAAACAAAAAAACAGGTTGGTGGCAACCCACATCTTATTTTTTTAAGAGTACATAAACTCCTGTTTTATTTTTATTGTGGCATGGATGATAACATAAAACCAAAAACATGAAAATATACAACTTATATTACACTATGTGTTATGAACAAAATATAAATCTATAACTCTATGTTATATTTACATAATTATTTATTTTATTAAATTTCAAGTGAGATGGTAGGTTGCACATACTTTGTTTTAAGCTCCAGGCATTTGATTGTCTCTGTTTTATTTTTTAAAAAAATTTTTACTTGTAAAATCCAAAATGTCAGAAAGACTAAGAGCTTTAGAGCCCGTGGAGCTATATAAATACTGTTTTAGTGAACCAGTGACAGAAACACTGGAGAGGACAGGAATTGATCAGTAGGAAACTCAACATGTCATCTCCAACCTGGTAAATTGATAGTTATAGGAAATTTCAAAATTAAATACTGTATAAGCTTGGCTAAACAAACATCTATGCCCTACAAGACAAAGAGATATCTGAACCACTTTCAGTGGGCTTCATATTTTTCCTTGTAGACCCCATAAGTTTTTATTATTAACTTGATAGACAAATATTTTATAAACCTGTTTGTAAATATACAGTTGTTTATTACAATTCAATAATTTACCCTTGAGAATGAATGGAAGTATACTTATTTTTGACATTTTAAGTGTGATATAAGAGGTTTCTTCTGAGAATATTAACAGCTTCTGGATTAAGAAAATATCTGAAATGAGACCATGAAATAAAGATAATTTTCTTTAAATTAATTAAGGTAAAATTCTATTCCAGATATCAAATCTAGGGAACAGTATCACCAAAGAACATTTTAAATATTTGTTCCTTATAGAAAGATTTGGTTTCAACAATGACTATGTCTTTCAGGAGGAATCTGATGACATGGGTAACTCTAAACTGTAGATGCCAAATGAACCTTAACATTGACCTAACTAATCTAGGTGTAAACAGACTGAAGAATAGTTTGTGTTCTGTTCAAATGTAATAACTAGCCAAATCATTATTAGTTTACCAATAAGCAACTTTTAACTATTTTTTCTAGTAATATTCTTTTAGATTCATATAAGAACATGACTAATTTAGAGGAACAGATCACATCAAGTATAAAAAACAGAGTTCTGGCAAGATTATTCCTCAGAGAAAAAGTGGAGGGAGACAGAGAAAAAGGATGGGGGTGTGGAGAGAGAATTTTCAGCAGGTGGGTAGGCAAGAAGAAAGGAGGGAGGAGACAGTTTATTTCAGTTTGATTTCATTCTCATTTCTTCCACCTTATCTTTTTTGGTCATAATGGGGCACAGAAAAAGAATACAAAGTTTTAGGATCCTTTACAAAAATCATAAACCAGTCAAATGCCAGAAAAGGCAGTATGTCAACACAGCAAGTCTCTGTTCACAGCACCTTTCATCAAGTGACTTCAAAACATTAATATAAGCATTTTCGTTTTTCTTGTCTTCTGGGGAGAACTAGAGCAAAGAAATGTTGACATCCAGTGAATTAAATGCTGTAACAAGAGAATTCAATGAGTGCTGTGGACTTGTTTTTTATTTCAGTCCATGCACAGGTTAGTCTTGGGCATATATGTAACTAAGTAAATTCTGGGTTCCAGCAGTTAGAGATTTCTATTAAGAATTTCATTCTATCGTTCAATAAAACAAGGAAATTTTAAACCAAATGCAATATTTTGTCAATTCAGTGGTGTTTCGGATTCATTTTGGCCATGAATGCCTCAGTGGCATCTACCTGGAGCTAAAACAAAGTATTCTTGTAGCCCAGAGTCATCAAATGGAAACCAAGCATGTGGGTAACATGGTATGAAATAAGGATCCAGCAGACGTGGAGGTGACCCCACGTAAGTCAGAAGAAATTTGTTAACAAAGACAGAACAAGTTTTTAAAAAATCTGTTTTCACATTGTACCTAACAATGATACAAAAGCAAGTGTCTTTTTTTCCTTTTTCAGAGTGCTTAAAAACAAATAGAACAAATAAAAACAAAAGTTGGCTCTAGATGACTGTGGCAGTTAAATAACTAAAATGAGTGACAAGAGCATAAGACAAGATTGATCACGAGCCTCCTATTAATTTACTCCTCTGTATTAAACACCAGAACTGACATTATTGGGGCCCAAATTTTTAGAAGGAAAAAAACTTACAAAAGAAGTAAAACTGTGTGGGTGAACACATGTGTGTATGTACATATATATATACACACATATATTGGTAAGTATATGTGTGTGTGTGTATATATATATGCATATTACATATGAGTTGGTGATAGCAATTACTTTTAAATATCTAACAGCTTATTGGCTGCACTTCCAAATCAGAGCAGAATAAAATAGAAAGGGCAAAATAAAATAAATTATACATAACTTACTAATCTGGGAACAGCTGACCATTATTATTATTATTATTATTATTTTATCATCATCATTATTACAACACTAGCAAAAAGAGGCAGTTTGAATGAAAATACAGTCATCAAAAACAACAGAAAAAACAAACGAAACAAAGTCTCTGACATGCAGGATATGATCAGCTCCTCCAAGCAAAACCCGAAAGCAAGTCTTCTGAGAGAGAGAAAATTTTTAAAAAGTATTTATTTTCTTTATTTATATGTGAAAGTCAAACTTTAGGATGGTGTTTGGTGGGGGGTGAGATAGGAAAATGACCACTGGACAGAATGAACACCGTGGTACATCCAAGCGACCGGCTCAAGTATTTACTGCTGGATGTGGAAACGCAAATAATGGCAAAATTGACTTAAAAAGATTTTTGAATTTATTTGTACAGGTGCTACCACTGCCTTGGCGTTTGGCTGGCAAAATTTTAAAAGGAGTCCCATCCGCATCGGCTGTTGCTCTCTGCGCATGCTCCGCAGACACTAAATTAGACTTCAGCAGATTCACCTCCCAGCAAAGGAAGAGGACTGGCTGGGATCCCTGGGCTCAGGCAGGCCCCGCTTTGGTGGCCTGCAGTGACTTTAAATCAAATCCTGGTTTTTATGGCAGAAAATGCACCTGGCCCACACTTTTGAAATGCAAAAAGGCCTCCACTTCATTTCACGGAGATGAAAAATACAAAAGTCGTCATCAGTTCCTTTTCCTGGTCAGGAAAGGATGGAATGTTGAGAAATAAGCTAATTCTGTATTTCTGGGAAATGGCCAAATCTATTCAGTAAAAACAGTGATTGTTTTGCTCGAAGTATCAACAGGAAAAACAAAAACCACTAAGTAGCAAACATTAGTAGAACCGACTGTCCAGGGAAAAGGGACATCTGGGAGTCGTTTGCTAGCTGCTTCCGTGTGGTACACGCACACCTCTATTACACAGGGCCGCCTGATCCCTCCGATCACCATCACATTAGAAACCGAAAAATAGAATTTCTGAGCCCTATACTTGGTTAAATTGTCATTTGAAGTGCAAAGTCAAGGTCAAGATTACTTCTAGACCAGTCACTTAGGAGGATGTGGGATTTCATCCCCAGATGTGGGTTTAACTCACAATGGTCCAACTTTATTTCTGTTAGTACCATATTCACACACATACATACACACAAAAATCCAAGATCAGAAAATATTTTTTTCTCTAAATTTCTTATGTCTCTCTCTCTTTTCACCTGAGAACAGCACCTACAGTTTCCATTTAAAAAAAAAAAAAAGTCAAATCTCACCAGCTGCTGGTATATCAGGTTTTTCAAGGGATTGTCTAAGATATAACACTGTCCTAACTCAAGAAGGAACAGGAAAAAGGAAAAGGAAAAAATATGAAATTGGTCAACACTTCAGTACAAATTTGGCACTTGCTTAAAGATGTAGTGTGGTGTGCAACAGATAAAGAAAACTCTCTAAAGAAAATAACTGTGTGTTTTGTGATGATAGCGAGGAAGTTAAAAACAGGCTCTTTTTCCCTCCCCCCCTCCCCCATGCACAGACTTCCATCTTTAAAGCAAAGGGATGGAGAAAGTGGAGAGAAGTAAAGAGAAATTCGTCTTTCATTTTTCTGTCAGGTGCATTTAAAGAACTAAAAAAGAAAAAAAAAAAAAAAAAGGGAAAGGAAAGAAAAAGTAAAAGAAAAAAAAGCCCAGAAACCCCCCAAAACAAAACAAAACTTATTTCTTTTTAAAAATTGTAGCACAAAACAACGAAACACATTCACAAGCCACTTGTTGGCACTGTGTACCTGAGTGAGAATTTCTAGAACATTGTAGAACAAACAGCCATAAAGTTTATTAAAAAAAAAAAAAGTTAACGGGTAAGACTTCAGTGCTTGGATGTAGCAGCTGAATTACTGGCATTGTTTTACCCATAGCTTATTTCAATCTCTTGTTGTCGATATTGTTGTTTGCTTTTTTTTTTTTTCGTTTTTTTTTTTTTTTCTCCTTTCCAAGCCTTTTGAGGCTGAGGTCTATTAGTCAGCTGATGTCCCAACTATTTAAGACTAACAGTTAAAGTAACAGTCAGTGTATGAGAAAGTTAATGTGCTTGGCCACTGGTAAGGATGAACCAGCTAGGGCTTCTTGAAGTCCTAAGGTCACAACGATCTTTGACCCTTATCAGTTGGCTTGTCCTGCGATATGGTTTTCACTGTCACTCCCATAATCCACATCCGGATCATCCTCTTCCTCATCGTACTCATCATAAATCTCTCCGTTGATGTCCTCAGCCTGGATCTCTTCTTTGATGTGCGGCTCCTCCCCTTTCACGCCGTAAGTGCTCTGAATAACGGGCATCCCGGGCTCAGGGCTGCTGGACACGCTGGAGTGCTCGGAGGGCAGGTGCGGGGAGGGCATCCCGGCCATGGCGATGGCTCCCGGGTACACGACGCCAGCGGTGGCGATGGGGATCTGTGCTTGTTGCCTGTCACAGAGGAATTCCCAAAAAGAGGTCAATAATCAGTATGAGTGAGACGCCTGTCTGGCTTAATAATTAAGGTGCTCAGTGGCAGCCAATCCTAAGGTACTGATTGTCACCAATTTGCCTAATGTGCTAAAAACTGTACCCTGCTTTGAGTCTCACACCTTGCCTTTGGATGGCGCCTTCTAGAGCATCAGGCATTTTACATGACCTACCCATATGCTTGTTCAAATACCCTGTTCTGTTACCATTCTGTGAAATAAACAGGCACAAAAAATGAAGTTAAGGAACCCAAGTCCTTAACTCCAAGTGCACTTTGCCTTCACTATGATATGTACTAAGAGTATTTTTTTTAATAAATTAGCCTAAATAGAATTCATTTGTAATGGAAAAACCATGGAGCTATCAGATAGCTTTACTGTTCAGAACATTCCAGAACTGAGCCACACCACCCTGTTCACCTGGCCCCTAAAACAGTTTCGGTCCCCTGGAGGTGGGAGGCCAGGCCAGCCCCACGGATGCTCAACCCCAACCCGTGCCACTGCACTCTGGTATCATACCGAGTCTTGCTGTCCTATCTGGGAAACGATGAATAATTTTTAAATAAGGGGTCGTGTTTTCTCAGTTTTGAACTGGGCCCTGTGCAATGTGTAGCTGGTCCTGGCCCTGGTTTCTTTTAGGCATTCATAAGTCTGCTACATTGTTTACTTGGGCTTTGTGTACAGCTTTGCGAGAAGAGTCAAGCTCCTGGACAGGAATCACAGACCCTTGGACAGAGCACAAATATTCTTTAAAGGAAACAGAGAGTGCAGGACAAAACTGAAAGCCCCCCGCCCCGTTATCCTCTGGCCATATTCAGAACAGTATTCATTATTCTGAGCTTGCAGGATAGCCCTTTGCTGGAGTATGTCTGGACAGAGGTCTCCAGGAGCAGCGCAGTTACAGGCTGCCTGTCACAGCTCTGTCAACAACCCTGCCACGGGGAGCAGAGGACAACATCCTGCAAGCTGCGTTCCTCATTCAGAGCAGAACTTCCGTTCACAGCCTGGCTGTGTGCTAAATATAACCCGATTCTGTGTAATCCACGCAGAGTGTCACACGAGGCCACCCATGTGCCTTGATAGCTCAGCAGCCCTTCGCTCTTCAGCAGTGTTTCTCTCTTCTGAAATCACTTTTATATTATCTCAACTAAGTGGTACGTGGTAATGTCTATCATGGTGAAACCCTGAGAGTAATGACATCCGTGAGGAAGTGAACCAGGAATACTTCTGAGCGTCTCCTAGCGGCCTTCAAACTTATTTAGAGGTAGAAAGTCGCAGTGGACCCTTACGGACTGATTTTTTAGGGTGATATGGGACACAGTTTAATTTTGAAAACTTTGAAATTTTGGTTCCAGGTTCTTTTTCAAATGCTGCTTTGCAATTCAACAAACACAGTGTGTTTCCATCCCACCGCGGACAAGGGGGAGCTGTCTCTGGGGGATAAACGAGCGCGGGCCATACCCGACGTTGAAGTACTGCCGCATTTCCTGCCGCCTGTTGCGCATGATGGCCTTGTATTCCCCGATGCGCAGCTTTTTGCCATCCACGAGGCAGGTGCGCTTCGGCCTGGGCTTGTACTTGTAGTCGGGGTACTTCTCCAGGTGCTGCTTGCTGAGACGGGCTTGCTCCTCGTAATATGGCTGCTTCTCTAGGTTTGTCATAGCTTTCCAGCGAGATCCTGTAAAGAAAAAGAGGTTAGGGTTCCGATTTGCACGGCTTCTGAGCATCCTAAAAGAGATATATATGACGGAGATGTGATGGAGAACAAGATCAGAAGATGCTGGCCAAAACCCAGAGAACCATCAACATGGTTTTGACTAGTGAACTCTGACTTGGAAGGCAAGATCTCAGAAGGACAGTGGTGCTGGTGCACTGTGTATCCAAACCCAAGAGCCTGTGTATCCCAAAATAGGAGCCCTGGACAATATACTCTCTGCCGAATGAACAGACTCTGGTCAAATGAACAATTTATCCAAAATTGTGCATTATAAGTTTTAGCAGTCATGTTTTTACATTTGACTATGATGTAATTCAGCTGCAAACTGAACATTATATATAATAATCCAACAATTTTCAATCTACTTGTTTTTTTTTTAAGTGGGGGCACTTTACTGCAAAAGTTCCTATATCAAATATACCAAATATTATCACTCTCCCCAAATGTTTATGTATGCCTATAGTAATGATTATAGTTAAGAATTCATTTCACTAAAAATTTGATTAGAATTATATTGTTACCAAATATGGACTGGATAACTACTACGTGGCAGACACACACAGTGGTAAGAACTTCACAAATGTTTCATTTCTACTTTTCATCACAATTTTTCATGATAGCATTATGGTTATTTTCACAGATCAGAAAATTGAGCTTCACATAGATGAAATAAGATACCCAGGATCACATAATTGTTTGATTGCAGATGTGGGATTTAAGAGCAAGCTCAATAGAATTTGCAGTGCCCTACCTCTTTCATACATAGTTGCACCTGCTGTCTATGATCCAAGAGTTAGCAGAAATACAACAAGTATGCATTCGCATTTTTCTCTGAACATGTTTTCAATAAAATAAGACACTTTCATGGTACAAAGAAGATAGACACAGAGATATAATGATTTGCCAAATTGTGTCTCTTTCTTTCACTAATAGTTTTGGTGTATATTCAGCTGGGACTGAGAAAAGTCAGTTTTAAACTAAACCAAAAATAATCAACACTCACACTCAATGTAAACGTGTCTGAAAGTTTTGATTCTGTAAGTGCGGCTCTATATTATAGTAAGAGAGGTAGTAGCAGCAGTGTTTACTTCTTACAGATTTAGAATTCTTATTACAAAGTACATTTATGTGCGAATAATCAATCTGATCTGACATGTGTACGAAGATTGTAGAACTGGATCTAGGAGATCCCCGCAGCTATGGCTTGAACAGGATTTGTCCCCTCCAAAACTCATGCTGGCGTTTATCCTCACTGTGAGGTATCAGCTGGGTGGAGGCAATCCAACCAATGGGGCCCTGTCATTGAATACTGGTAGTTTATAAGAAAAGAGACGAAGAAAACAAAGAAGATAAACACAAGGACTCTGTCTCTTGCCATGTGATGTGCCAGTGCCTCAGACTCTCCAGCAAGAAGACATCACCAGGTATAGTCTCTTGACCTAAGAGTGAGATTGTGAACCCAAATAAGCATTTTTCTTATAAATTTATGTAGCCTCAAGTATTTCATTATAGTAATGAAAAATGATACACCTACTGATACACCTACCAAATATATAGTGATACTGCTTTCTTCATCTGACTTTCAAAGTTATCTGAGCAAGATCTCAGAAGCTTTAGAGGAGGTTTTTCATTCAACCAAAATTCCATACTGCAACTGCAAACAGATCACTGCTGAACAGTTCTTCCCAACAAGTGTAAAGAATTCTTCAACATGGAATATTCTACTTTACAAAGCCTGCAGTGAACAGGACATTATTTCTTCGCTTGGAATTGTTTTCTATTGGAACAGATGTTGCGCAGGTGGGAATATCCACGTAGGAGTTATGAAGATTTATAAACATAGATTTTTTTTTCCAATCTAGTCAGCTAATATAATTTTATTTCTTTTATAACAGAAGCTCAGGTTACAGTTCAAATAAAATAGTTTCTTTTTCTATTCTCTCTCAAACTTCTTTTGAAAAGCAGCGTTCAAAATTAAGTCAATAGGTCAGGCCATATCATTTGTAAATACTCCTTTATTTTCCCAACATTTTTCTGTAGAGGTACTTACACAATATTATGTTGTTTTCTCTGTATAAAAAAAGATAAGTTATAATACTATTGAACAAGATCACTTCTTTTCATGGGGTTTTTCATATATATATATATATATATATATATATATATATGAACCTCAGATTGGATAGTGAAAAACTAAGCTTATCAGAAATAACTTACTGGCAAACAGGAATACATTAAGATATAGATAGTTGACTTAAAATAAAATTCACTAGCTATCTTTATTCCAAAGTTGAACAAAGAAATCAGTATTCTCAGTTAGAATAAGAATTGAAAAAGATTCTTCCCTAAGTCTAAATGTTCTATAAGCTCTAAATTATTATGTATCTCTAGGGAAAGGAAATGTTTACGCCTTGAAGTAACCTTAGGATGTGAGAATTGTTTCATATTTCCTATTATGTGCATAGTGAGGCATTAATTGCCAAATATGCAGTGATGAACAAGAGAGTTAAGTTTCCTGTCTGCTTAGACTTCACATTCAATGAGGAAAAATATTATGCATCTTGTTACAAGTTTTATTATTATCATTATTACTATTATTATTGCTGTTATATTAACAGTCTTATAGACTGAACACTGAGCTACATTCCCAGCCCTTTTTTATTTTTCATTTTGAGACAGGGTCTCACTAAGTTGCTAAATTCCCCAGGCTGGATTTGAACTTGCAACCCTTCTGTCTCACTTTCTCAGAGCACTTGGAATACAAGCGTGTGCTGTCATGCCTGACACAAATTTTATTATTGTAATTATAAATGTGTGAATTACATAAAGTAACTTATCATAAGATAAGAGGAAACGATTTCTATAAAGATCAGAAAGACAAGAGCACCTGATGGAAGAAGAACACTGTGGTCAAGGTCTTTTGATGAGACTGTGAATTTAAAGTTAATCTGACAAAAATGAAGCACGAAAGGGATGAATACATGCAGTCATGGCTAATAGAGGAATTCTTAGGCAAGTGGGGTTCAAAACCTGGCATGAAATGAGATTATAAAATACTTCGACTATTGGTTTGCAGTTTCTGCAGAATTATTGAATCCTAAAATATATTTAAAAATAAGACCATATATGAGTTACACTTTTAAAATTGAGAATTAAAATAGCCTGAGAACTAACTGGGGCAAAATGCCCGATATACCACTGTATGATCATATACATAGGATTTCACTTTGCCGGCAAATCCAGTTTTCCTGTCTTAATAATTGCTCTGAATTGGGTTTGGTTAGGTTTTAATGGCTGTGCGGCTGACACAGCGATTGAAAACATCTTGGATGTAAATCCCTGACACATGCTAGATGAGAATGTTGGGAATGCACTTTAGGTATCTCAAAAAAAAAAAAAAAATGATCCATTTGATTTGGGCGTGGTTAGCTGCTTAACCTGGAGGCGTGCACAGGAAGAAGGTGCCCTGATGTTCTCAAAAGGCGGGTCTTTCTATATGGAAAAGCTGAGAATGAAAACTGGGTATGCTTCCTGATGACAAAATAGTACATTTCAATTAAAAATATCAGATACTCAAAAGAAAAATGATAAGGGCCTTAGAATTGTTCTTTTCCTTTCGAAATCTGGCAGTACGGAGTGGAGAGCATGAGCTGAGGAACATTGTCATCTCCATGGGGTATGTAATGAATTTGCACATTTTACTCCAACTACTGTATATCTAATCAGAAAAAGATGTCCCCCACTCCCTGATCTAGCGCCAAACAGTAAAAGGTGATTCCTTATGTTAACAATTTCAGCAGAATGGCTTATTAAAACCAGATTTTAGGGTATTATAAAATGCTTAGAAGCCCTTTAAAATGTCAACTAGGATCCCCAGAGACTACGTAAAATGTCAACCCAGCTCCAGCGCCTGTTTTAAGCAGAATGAATTAGCAGCATGCTGTCGGAGGCTGTTATCCAAAACAATCAGCAAAGAGGAAAACATCAAGCTTTCTTTGTACTTTTATACGAAATAGGCCATTCAGAATAATCTTGTGGATATTTGAAGATCACTTATTTATTGAAAGCTATGACTAAATATTGAGGTCCAAAACACTTGAGGGTTTAATTTTTGACCAGACACAAATGCTCTACATTTAAATAATACAATTTTATCTGAAAAACTGGAATCCAGCAGTACTCTCTTCCATGTACTCTGTGATGATATAATCATACAGTCACACTATTCTCTCCTTTAGATCAGAGAGGAATTGTCTTAGTCATTTTTTGTCCACAAACAATTTTGCTATGTTTTTAAAGTATCATTTCGCATCATCGAAACTGGTATTTCTCTTAAGGTAAACTTTTCATCCATGATTATTGCTTTTTGAGTGTGCAGACATATGAACTGAGTAACAAAGACAGGTGAAACAATGTTAGTATTTAGCTGGTTTTATTTTGATGTTCTTAGATTTCTAATTTGAGAATAATTGATAAAATATAAAATGTGCTTACATAAAATACTTCACAGATTTCTAGAGTTTTTCTAAATAAAAAAGTGCATTGCATTTCAAAAATGATGAACCTTATTTGGAAGAATATAAGTCGTAAAAGGGAAAATGGAGCAGAGATTAGTGGAGATGCAAAAAATAGGCATTTTTACTCAGCTCCAGTTTTTGATTTTCTATAGATACATGCTTTAAAATATAGATGTTCACATTTTCTGTGCATGTCTAAGGCTTCATATGTTCATGTCTTTTAATATGATGCTCATCTACCAATCTCAAAATCACTTCATATGAAAATATTGAGACAGAAGGTTAGATGGCTACTGGCTTATTTTGATCCCATACATTACTAATGCACACTGTGGATTGGGTAGCATCAGTTACCTCTGTTCTTAAAACAAGGTCACAAAAAACTTGCATATGTTCAGTAACTGCTTTTGCATGAACAGTTTCTTAATGAAAAGAATCAAAGGAATGTGGTCTTCATAAACTACATAAACATAGTATGCTATGGATTGTAATAAACCTTTAATAGTGTAGACATATTTTACTTGTAAGATCCAAAATCTGTTGATAGAGTGATTGTTCTATCTTATTTTTATTGCCTGGGTTTTGATGTCAGTGAATGAATAATCAAAATTTGCCGAGGTGTCCAGTACTCAGCCACCAGACTATCTGAAGATAAAGATGATGTAAAGATGATAAAGACAGGGACAGTAATGATGATGTCAACTGATGACACAGATGCAGTTTGTTTCTTTGTGACTTAAACTGGTTCTATACTTTTCTTTATAACATGAACCCTTTCTTCTCCCCCATCCTTTCTATGTACTTCAGCATCTATGGAACAGTAAATATATGTGGTTTTTTTTTTGGGGGGGGGACCTGCAAGCTGCAATGACACAAAAAGTCTCTATTTAATAATACTGCACATTACTGAAAGTTACAAAAAGTGTTGCAAAAGGTAACTTTTGTACCTATGCATACCAAAAATACCTTCTAGAATGTGCACCAGTTCTTACTATGCTCTGAGATTAAACTGACTTAAAATTATAACACACAAATATCATCTTCACCTCAACCCCATGTCCGTGATGAACTCTAAGCAATTCAAAGTCAAATGCTTATCCCTGTGTTACAAGGTGATGTAAGAGGAAGGAGCCTTAAAATGAAAAACAACATGTCCACGTGTGTCAAAGAGAAAGGATGGAAATGACCGATACCAGTCTCTGCTGTCTCAGAGAAAAGCACCTTGTTTTACAGTCACAGTTAAAATCAGACATTTGAAGAGGAGAAAATAACAATAATTAATAATTGGCATGGAGACACAGAGGGATGTCTCCTGATGAACATGGACTATTCCATCGTCATCAGAATCCCTGAGGATCTTTCTACACCTGCAAAAGACATAACTGGGGGCAGGGTATTTAGCTCGCTGGTTCAAGCACTTGCTTGGTAAGTACAAGGTCGTGAGTTTGATCCTAGGTACCCCTCCCAAAAAAAGCTATAACTATACATTTATTCATATATCACTTAATTATTCATGCTTTCTTACCCAGTATCTTGCTGATGTTGGAGTTGTGCATGTCAGGAAAGGCTTGAAGGATTTTTCTCCGTTCATCTTTAGCCCATACCATGAAAGCATTCATTGGACGTTTTATGTGGGGTTCATTGCTACCACGCCCCCTGGATTCCCTATAAATTCTTGACTCTGAAACTCCAGCACTTCCTAAAAAATAGGAATATCATTCATGTCAGTGTTAAAACTTTTGGCAACTCGGTTTTTTGCAATACTGCTTGGTCTATTAAAATAGCTAAAAACAAAAAAGTACTTTTGATCATGGTACTTCTAGTTCTGAAGACAGATGCTTGTTTATGAAGTTTTTGTGATAAGCCTTGTAGTGGCAAATGTTGTATTTATATTTTCAATCCATTTCTAATTTATCTTCCCCTGCTTTCCCTCGACTATGACTGATTCACTGTTTACATTTAAGAGCCCACAAGAAACTCGAGTATATGTTTTTGGTATAATCTGGTAAGACAATAGATTAGATCAATAAACATGCCAATGCTGTAGAAATATTAAAAATGAAAAGGGGCTGACAAAGCTGTCAAACAGTAATCTGTGTGGCAGATGGATTGTTGAAGGTGAGGATATGTCTTTGTCGCTTAAAGGCTATCAGAACACAAAGTACTCCAACCTTTTTATCTCCCCGAGGTTATATAAATAAAAACAGGCTAGATAGCATTTTGAGGTCAAAATACAATACAGGTGTTTAATTCTAATGTGCTTGGCTTTGCTTTGAAATTACATGCTAATATATGCATGAAATATGCTAATGTAACAATGATAGCTGCCCCCAAAAAGATATTTAAAAAATTGTAGGGGAAAGAACAGACTAAATATAATATTACCAGAGTTTCTTAGGAAGCCTACAGTCACATGGATAAGGTGAAAAATATAATATAGTCCTTTGAATTTTTTCTTAACATCTAAAGTTTTCCAGAGACCCAAGGATAGTTACAGTTCAATCAGAATAAAAGTAATAAAGCTAATTTCATGAATCACATCACCTGTAGAAGCTTCACTCACTCCAAGAGCTGTATGTGATTTCTTAGAGTGGTTTGCCAGAGTAGACACCTTCTAAGATACTTGAGTTTAGGCAATGAAAATATGGACAACCAGAAGAAAACACGGCATTTTGACATTAAATTTTCATTATAAAAGATGGAGCAAAATATAAAATAGTCTGGGGATTTCTAGGACTTAGATAATCAATACAAACACTGCTTTGCTTTTCTGCATTTATATTCTTTCTTTTCTTAAATAGAAAGAATAGAATCAATCAAAATATCCCAGACTGGAAGCCCTCTATAGCAGCAAATAAAAACCTGCATATCTGTTGGTAGTGTCTCATTATTTCTCATTCTTACCATGCTCCCTGGAAGAGTGGAAAATATTTCACATACAAGCATGACTGAATTTAACAAATAACATCAGGACAATTTTGATGTTTTAATGTTGATTATCATGGGCTTATTTTATCATGCTAATACAACTTAAAATTTATGAAATGTGTTACTACCAGTAATTGCCTTTTTATTGACAAAAATGAGTGCTTATATATAGTAACATCTTTCTAAAATGACTCTGTAACTAGCAAATGATCACTTGCACATCTGCTTTCTCTTGTTCCTACACCTTACAGCAACATAAGCAATAAAAGAACAGTACGTGACTTCATCAAATCTAACAAGCATTTTGCATATCAGCTAGACAGATTTATCCTAGTTGATGAAATAGCAAATAGAACGAAATGTTCAGGTACATCAGATGAAAGAAAACAGATTTTTTTCTTGGCTACCCAACTGAATAAAGTTTAGTTTTGACAGAATTACGAAGTTAAATGTTCAAGCTTGGCTAGTTCTTGGCCGATACAGACCTTGATGATTTAAGTAGAATTGTCCTGAGGCAGAGACTAGACAGCTATGTGTGAGGTGTGATCAAAACATATGGTGAAAATCTAGATTTAAAGAAAAGTATTCCAGCAAAAGACGTATTGCCATGAATCTTCCTCAAGGTTTTCCCTCTGACTTTGAACACTCTTATCCCATCCTTCTGCAACTTCCTGAAGCTGTTCTGCAAGTCCTCTTTTATCAGTGTTTTCATTGTGCTCTTGGGGCTGCCTTGATGTACTGAAATGATTGAAAATGTTTGCCTTTTATGGTCATTTTTACTTGGCAGAAGAGCCAAAGTCACAGAGTGCCCGGTCTGAGAAATAAGATGAATAAAGAGGCAAAGCAGAGTTTTTAGGAGCCCGCCTTTCCGTTGGCTAGTACTCCACAGCAGCGTTCACTGAACTCTTGCTTACCCCTAATAAAGACACTCAAAGACTTCGAAAACTGCCTTAGAAAGTGGTAAGAACAATGGGATACACCCATATCTGGAGAGTGGTGACATGTTCTCTACTACATTTATAAAAAAACCAAACTTTGACATTCACTACATATTCTGATCACACTGCATATGCTAGAGGGTTGTCAAGAAACCCTGCCTCCTCACCCCACATGCACGTGCGTGCGTGTACGTGCGTGTGTGTGTGTGTGTGTGTGTGTGTGTGTGTTACAGTACCATTCTCAGTGGTTTAGCTTGACACAGTCTCTTCCATGTGCAAAGGACTTCCTCTGTAATACTAGTGAAGTTGAGGATCTGATACCAAACCAACTCTTAAGATGCATGTGCATTTGCATGCGCATGTGACCTGACTGACCCTGAAGAGAGGTTCCTATCTGAGGCACTATATAATGGCACTTTATTCTGTTTTTCTCTTTTCTATGCTAGTGAGATTAAGCTCCATGTAATTAGCTGTTGTTCTTATCTGGTTGTTCAGGGGAGCTGTCACAACTGTAGGTCTAAGGGAAGCAGAATGTTGTGCAGCTGGAGCTCTAACTGGGTTACAGAGAGGAGGCAGGGCATTTGTGTGGGAGAGGGCAGGAGAAAAGGGGTCCAAAATGCACAAAGGTATCCAGAAAAAGTTCTCTAGACCATGTGTTTTAGTCATGAATTGAGCTGAAATTGAAAAATGAGCAGAGAGATAGCAGGTTCTGAAAAGTTTAAGGCATAAGATATAGGCAAGTGAGAGACAGGGAGAGATGGTGATTACGGAGATTTGCTTTCAAATCATACCACCTCAAATTAAAGTCCTGCTTCCTGCGCCTAGAGCCCTGTGACCTTGAAAAAAACGCATTCCAAGTTCTGAGGGTCAGTCCGTTCACCTGCAATAGTACTTAGAGCTTGTGACAGGGACTAAAAAGAGATCCATTAAGCAAGAACTCAGTGGAGAGCTCGCAGCATGGGACTGGCTGGTATAGGTGAGCTCTGGCTATAAAGCTCAGGTCTGATGTGACTGTCTTGTCTGTTTTTTAGCAGTTTTTATTGACAGAAATACATACTCTTGCACTTTATTTGAACAGATACAAATAATTTCTACAAACCATCAGAATCTCCACTCATATTGAAGTCCATCATTGCATGGCTAAATTTTCCTTCTTCATTCTGTTTAACTGCCAGTTGCTGAGTCAGACTTTCCAGTGTTGTTTTCTCCTTAAATAAAGAAATATGAATTGAGAGCTAAATTTTGAAATGATCATTATTCAAGAATATTTCTTTCTTTAGGCCATATACATTACATTAGCTTCTGGAAGGGACGGGATATTGATTTACTCACCTTTGCATGTTCATCACATTCTACTGAGTTGATTAAAGGAAATGAACAGCAGGGGTTTTGGAGGGACTTTGATTCTTGTAAACCCCTTTAAGACTTGGCATTTGGGTTTCTATGCTTGAAGGACATATGCCAGGATCCTTACAGACAACCTTCCCAAGTCACAAAACGTGTACTGAAATTTCACAGAAGCAACCTGTTCTACGTTTGGAGTGCCACGTTATTTTTAGCCAAACAGTAGAAGTATAGGAGTGGCATGGGGCCCAGAAAGTCTTCCAGTAGTAAGGTGACTAAATGATAGAAACAAAATTCACAGTAGTGCCCTCTGGTTGCGATCTCCTAAATGCCATCTGCATTTCTCATGCAAGGGTAATGAAGACATTTAAATATTCATTGCTAATTGCTTGTCAAGTCTCTGTACATCCAGTGTGAGTGCCTGCTACTTGGACCACAATTTGATTTGGATTGCTAAGCCAAAATATTGAGTTGGCGAATTATTTGAGATACAAATATACAAAATTATATCTGCAAAGAAATCAAATCATTTAGAAGCATGCAGTGCATGATTTGCATTCATGGAGAACGTGGCTTACTAACTGAATTATGTTCAAGGAAAATATAATGCCTAATCTAAGTCACATAGGATATTAAATTGCTTCTAAATTAAGAAATTGGGTGATGTGAAGAACAGAAAAAGCATATAATGAAAAGTTGACAATTTTCTCTTGAACTTTTCAGCATGCTCTGGGGATGATGTGGTTCCAAAACAGTTTTAAGCAAAACGTCTATTGGATCTCATAACATTTGCACAAGTTTCTTTGTAATCGTTCACCACTATGTTCTAAGGAACACAGTTATGAATTGTAACTAATGAACTATAAATACTGCAGAACTATTACCGACACAATAAAATGTTCATGGCAAATAATCAACTATTGTATTGTAGGTAAAAAAGCTCAACTAATGTGCTCACCAATAACCAATAGGATATTGAAATTATTAACACAGTACATGCTTCATCTCTACAAAATCTGACAATGCTACTATTGTACAATGCCTAGATTGAAAATTCTCTTATGTCAGTGGCCTTGGAACGCCTGCACTCTATTCATCAAAGTCTGTACATGATTTAATGGAAAAACATTTTTAAAATTTCAATCAGTTTACAGTACAGTAGGGAAATGAAACAGAAAACAGTTTATATTAACTTTAGTTTTATAGAATCATGAAGTATTAAATTTGACACAAGTTATACATTTAAAAATGTAGAATCTGACCCAATTTATGTTGGGTGTGAAACTGATCTTTTTAACAGCTTGATGTGGTCTGTATTTCTTTTGCTGAGAAAGTCTGCTGTATATTCTTTAGCTGAGCTCAGGAGCTCTAAGAGTACTAGTTTAACAGGCTCTCTCTATGATAAATATAGCTGTTAAAAGTTGTATTAAAAAACATTCCATTAACATGATCTGATAGTTCCCTGGTCCAGAGAGATTGTACTGTACTTTCTTTGGGTAATGCACAGGGGATAGATTATCCATCAAGTTTTGGTTTAATGGTATATAGGTAAAGAGTACTACATATATTTTTAGAGTGTTCCATTCTGAATCAAGAAGAAATAGCAAAATGAAGGAAATCAGAGTACAAAAGGAATGAATTATGAAGTATTTTCTAAGGATAAGAGTTCAGTCTTATTGATATTATGTCATCTTACCAAAGGACTAAAATTAGCAAAAGGACAGCAGGGAAGTTGCAGTCAGTTTTTACCGTAAGTCACCTCTAACTATCTACCTTTAAAGCACAAAGTATAATAAATAATTTAATTAGCTACAAAAAAGTGGACCTTATCACCTTTCTTAAGAGAATGTCAGAGGAGACAGTAGAAATCAACATAGTAAGTGATACTTTTTTATATAACTCTTTTTATAATGATTTTCAGATGTGTGAACAAGAATAAGAGAAAATTGGAGGAATTAAAGGATGTGTAGTTTTCCTTTAATTAAAAGACACGGTATATAAATTCAAATGGTAGCATTCCTACATCTTGGAAAAACTTGTAGTGGACAACAAATTCAGAACACACATAGAAGCTATGTAAGGAGTAAGTGATAATAACCACCCAAGTGGGAAGTAATGCTCATATAATTTCACATGAAATCCGATCCTATAAATTATCTATAAATCTTATAAAGGTAGATATAAATTTATATATCTATACAGATTGATATATTGATAGATTATTTAGATATTGAACCACCAAAAACTTGAGTTGGATTTCAGTTCTCAATAGTTAAATCAATAAAATTCAGTATTCAGGAGCCTGAGAAGGAGAAAGAATCAAGTGTTAAAAAGCACAAATACCAAACACTTTAAAAATTCATTCTACTCTATTCTTTTTAATTTTACCTTCCTCTAACCTCCAGTCATCTCCTTCTCAGAAGAATCTAAAACTCACTTGTTTGGCATAAATTATTTCCTTTCTCTATAGGTTCTTTTCATATGTACAATAATCACTGAAAATGGGAATATTTTGATTTTCAAAGTACTTATAATTAAATTCTCCCTAAGGAGAGGCATATGAAAGAACACAAAAGCAGTGGATCTCAAGTCAGAAAGAAGTAAATGAGAAGATGTTGAAAATAGGCCACATCAAAGCAACTGAGTTTGAGGAAACAAATGAATATTGATGGGCCCAAGTGACAATTTTTACCAACTTCATAATCATGACTCCAAATGGCTATGTCACATTGTCAAGAATTTGCACAGAAAAAAAATAGCACATGCCTCCATTTAAAGACCAATATTTTAAACTACAAATCCAGTGTAACACTTAGACTTTACTGCATTTTCATTACTGTTCAAATACTCATACGAAACTGACAAGATTCATTGGTCTTTTGTTTCCTACCATAAGGAAAAAGTATCATCAAACACATTTAAAGAAACACTTCTGAACTGCTCTGAGTAACCCTAGAGTGTAGAGTACAAAGAGATTAATTATCACAAGGTAATCAAAATGAATGTGCAGGGGATTTATAAACAAAGACCACAGAAAAGGACCCATATGTTTTCTTTCTGAATAATAATAAAAAATTACTGGTAGTAACCAGATTTCTACTGGAAAGATGTCTTATCTGACTAACCAAATCTTACACAACTTTGTAGTTTTGCTAAAATCAAAGTTAAATATTATGGCAAACCTATTATTCCTTGAAGAAATATTCTGATCTTATGTTGACTGAACAAAAATCAAAGTGAATTACATGGCATCTATAGAAAAAGAGAAAGTTGTAGACCATATAACTTCTTTGGCTCAGATGAATATTTTGAAAACTCAACATCCAAAGGTCTATTATTAAAGTATTAATACTCACTTGGGGAATTTGGCAGCTGGTCTTTGGCTTTGTGTCTAATCCAGTGCTTTGCATAATGGAAAAGAGCATGTATATTGTTTATAAGTAACACCATCTATGGTGGAAATCAAGGGGAGCCCCCACCAAAAAAATCTAAACAGATGTGTGTAATTAGTTGGTTTGAAGGGGTCAATATGGATCTATACTAAGTCAAAAACTATTCTGAATGGCAAAGGCTACCAGGATTAATAGAAATAGGACATATTTGAAGTTAGAAAATAATGGACTTTGGCATCAAAATAGCACATTTCAATAAACTGTCTTATATATTAGCAATATCACTTTATACAAATCACTTAACCTGAGTTCCAGAATCCTAAGTTATAAAATGCATAAAAATATATGACAGACTTTGCAGACAGTCAAGAAAGATACTTTTCAAAGTAGAGAAAAACTAAATGGGGAAAATTGAAAAGACAAAGATTACTTCTGATATGTAGGAATTTACAGGAATAGTTCAGTTTGAAGGCTGATTTCCCTAGTTGAGTTAGGATCTTTTATTTTCTATGGCTAGGTTAGTAGACAGGAACTGAAAAAGAGAATTTTACTAACAACTTTAAAAATGGTCAAGATTTTCTCCTCTTTTCTGTCATCTGAAATATTTTTCTATTTCTTTTTCTTTTTAAGATCCAGGCACGATAAGATGCAGTTCTACAAATCTGTTTCATATGACAAATGAGAATTGTCCCAATTCTATTATTTCAATTTATACAAAAAAAGCGACAGAAAATTAACTATGCTTGTGATGGCTACAGTGGACATCCTATGCTGATATTTCATAGAGCAGTCAAAATAAAAGGACACATGCACTGCATCTTGGAGGAAGTAGGCATGTCCTTAGCTACCTAATCCTAAATTAAACAGTGCATGCATAGATGTTTCTCCTATTACTCCCTGCAATTGGGATTTGTGGAAGCGACGAGTTTTGCCCTCCACTAGGCACACATACAACCAGAGAGATGGGCTGTGGATCAGCTATTATAATGGACATGCCTGAAATAAAGCTCTTGGAGCTATAAAACTCATAAAAAGCACATGCATGAAATGACAGAATAGTGTGACTGTCAAATGTTGACTCAGTAACAGTTAAGCCCCTCCTGGCTGCACTTTTTTATGGTCTCCTACTATACTAATGATATGGGAAAGAAGGAAGAAACTAAAAAGGATTTTTAACCCTGGAATTATGTGAAACTCAAAGACCACCAAAGTAGATGAAAGATTATTTATAATGTCATAACTATTTATCAGCTGAGGTTTATATTAGGTTAAGTAAAATATAAAGAAACAATGCGTATGTCTATCCCCATTAACCTCATGATTTCTCCCTTGCTTACTAATTTCTCTGTATTTTAAAAAATTAGTTATCCACCCACATAATCTAACAGGACAAATGTGTGAAAAGGCTTTCTTGTAGACTGTGTATATATATAAACATATCCAGACATACATACACATAAACATACACTCAC